ATATTACCTGACAAATATTGACAGGTTACCATATTCTCTTTACTTTATAAAAGGTGATCTGGTGTCTGGAAAATGGAATTTGGGGAGTTAGAAGGGCTTGATGGGAATCCTGGCTTTGCCACTTAAATGACTCTGTGACATAAACATGACATGGGGAGTCTCCTCTGGCTCCCCTGATCTATAAAAAGGGAATAAATTTTATAAACTTGCAAGTGCTGTGTAAGGATCTGAGTTGATCTACGTAATTAGCCTAACACAGGTCCTCAATGAATTGCAGCCATTATTGCTATTAGTAATATACATGCAGGTCACTCTTGGAGATTGTGGGGGGAGCCATACTGTGGCAACTCCCCTCTTCCTCCAGAGCACGTGGATGGCCACAGGGGAGCAGTGTGTATGAAGAGGGAGACCACCCACCACCCACCAAGCCCCTGTGGTTGTTCCCTGGAGTGTACATGGGGGCTGCTGGGACAGTAAGATGGTGAGGTGGAAAAACTGGGGGTGGCAGGGTTAGAGTGGGCTCTTCTACCCACTGTGGTATCGACAAGGCAGTCACTGAAATGTCCCTGCCTTGTGCACACTGAAGACAAGTGATTTTATTTATTCAGCTGACCAGCATTTGGACTGGATGATCTCAAAGATCCCTGCTGCCCTACTGTTCTCATACCCAGTGCAAACTTAAAGGGTTGCCTGTAAAGTTTCAATGAAAACACTACAGTAAAAGTTTGCTGCAATAAAAAAATGTGTATGCCCACACAATATGACTAGTTTGTTAATGGTAATACACATTTCATTCTATATTTTATATCACATTTTCGTGACTTTTTAGTTTTTTTTCTTGTTAACTCACATCTTGTCTCCAAAATGTTATAAACATGATGGTAGTTATTTTTTCCAGTTAGTTTTCTGAACACAATACTTAAAAGCCAAATTGCCAGCTGAAAGCCATATATCTGACACCACCATAATTAAAGATTATATTTGTTTTACAAATATTTACTCAACAAACTCTTATCAATATGTATAAACATCTATAAACAAGATACTGGGCTTGGTTCTAGAGACCAAGAGGCGAATAAATCAGTTCTGCTCTTATGAAGCTCCATCTGGTAAGGGATACACACACACATTACCATATGGCTGGAGAACAGTTACGAAAGGATAAGCACCTAACTCAGGCTGGAATGCTAACAGAGAAAGTAATATAAACATTTTCAACGCTTTATAGTTATTGGATGTCCACTGTGTGCAAAACACCATACAGGAGACATGGAGAATCACAAAAAGAAGAAATACAATCTCTGCTCTCAAGAAAGGTGCACTAATTCAATAAATGTTTATTGTGCTTTGTGTTTTTCTCCATATGCCTTGCACTTTGCAAGTTGTGGAGAGAAAACATTACAGATGCTACAAAGCCAGAGGAGAAACAGAAGCATAACAATTTCAGCATCACTAACTCTAAGTTTTGAGACTCTCTTAACTGTTCCTTATAAATCCGCAAGTATATTCTTAACACTCTCTAAGCCCTGAAAACTATTATAAAGCAACATATATGTTCCAAAATACTAGAGGACTAAAAATAAAAATGACATATTGAACATTAGAGTAAAAGAAAGAAACTAGGATTCCAGTTACTGTACTGCAATCTCTTCCTTAAATCTTTCCAATTCATCCCCATGTTGGCTCCGGTCAAAACAGCCCATCTGTTCTCTTCCACATATGTCACAACATTCGCAAACTCAAGATTATTCTTGACACCATTCCTAAGGTCTGGAATGCCCTTGCTGTTCCTCTTGTCCTCATCCTTTAACCTAACTTATATCCACTAAAAAGTCACGCTGGGTTTTCCCACATTGCTTACTTCTCTCTCTTCACTCACAGAGCACCACGGATCTGTTGACACTTGAGGAAGAGTTCTCAAGCCTCAAAGCGTGTGGCTCTATCATAATCAACACCTCAAAGTTCTTCAGAAGTTTTAATAAACTTTTGAGTCATGAAATACTACATTACAACAATCCTCCAGAGTTTTCAGTGTCCTGTGGGTCCTCCGTCAGACAACGGTGAGGACCACTGCTTTAACTCTTAGTCCACATACAAGTTGCTTCTGCAAATAGATCATGATTCCTCACAAG